TCACCCGGAGCCTGAGGACAGAGCAGCGGTGGCTGAGGACTCCGAGCGGCCCTTCTGGGCACTGGGACTGCCCACAGCCCTGGTGCAAACTCCTCTGCATCCCCATCCAGCTGTGCTCAGCTGTGCCCAGCTGAGCCCAGCCAGCAACACAGCTCCATGGCTAAAGCAGGAGCCAGCCATGAGACAGAGCAGGGTTGGGATGAGGACAGGGACCAGGAGCAGAGCCACAGCATGGCAGGGACAGCCCAGCCATGGCAGGGCGAGAGGACAGGACCACCAGCAGTGCCCAGGACAGCACTAGGTCCCTGTGCTGACTCTGGAAGCTGGGAGTCTCCAGCAAGGCAGGAGCCTTTGGGACTTTTTGGGCCAGAGGGACCCCAGAGCAGCTCTGGGGGGGACACAGGGCACCCAGGAATCATACAGACCCCTCCCTCTCAAAACTCAGCCTACCAGATGAGGATGGTGATGACGAGAACAGCAGCCAGGATGAAGAAGGCAAAGACCCCAAGGGACACCAGGACAGCCATCTTCTCCAGGGGGTCACTGTGATCTAAGACAGAGAGACTGTCACAGCTGAGGGATGCCACAGCCCCCAGCAACTGAGGGACCCTACTGCAAGCTACTGACCACCCAGCACCCCAGCCACACACGGGCATGGGCAAGAAACTCCTCCCATTACTCTCAGACACACTTGTGCTCAGGCAGGTGGCTGCCTGCAGGCAGTCCCCACTCCTGCTTCCATCTCCATTTCTACTCACTGATGGGCTCAGGGTTGGGAGCCTGGGAGGGCTCCTCAGCCAGGCTCTCCAGGCTGGTGTCTCTAGTGGTTTCTTCACTTGCTGCGGTGACCAGGTCTGGAAGAACAGAGGGGATGGGAAGCCAGTTTTTGGATAGTGTACGGGACCAGATTTTTGGGTCAACTTTAAGGGTTGTCCCAGGTGCTGGGACTCACTCTGGACGATATCTGGGGGAATGGGTGCCGTGGGGAAGGAGGTGGAGAGGGGCAGCCCAGGGTGCTGTAAGGGCTTTGGGGAGGGATGGCACAAGCTGGTAGGGCTGCTGGGGGCTGCAGCCTGTCCCCCTGTCACCTCTGACTGGCGTCGCCCGAGCCTCAGCGCTCCACTCGCTCCAGTTCCCCGCGTCCAGGAAATCCTTGGCACTGACTTGGACCACATGCTCCAGCCCAGCAAAGGCATCCGTGATCACCTCAGACAGGTTCACTGTCTCCACCTGCACCAGGCAGAAGGGAGTGGTGGGGCAGGCAGGGGCACTACCGACTGCCCTCCCTAGCCCTGTGCCTGCTCCGTGCCCATGCTGGCTTTGCCCCTCCTTGCCCACCGCTTACCACAGACCAGGAGCGGTGGATGACGGGCCGGTACTGGAGCCGAAACCTGAGCTGGAAGTGGGGTTCCTTGGGCCAGGAAGAGGGGTACCTCCAGCTCACATGAAGCCGCCGTGGGGCTAGGGGGATGGGCTCCACCATCAAGCCCTCCGGAGGGTCCGGCTTAACTGTGTGGGAGAGGACAGGGAGTCCCTGTCACCCCAACTGCCATGCAGAGGTGACGGGCTCCCTGCTGCTGCCCAGGGCTAGATGCCCAGGGGATGGACAGGCACTGGGACACATTGATGGGGACTCACTGATGGCCTGCATGGTGACGTCGAGGAGGCGGAAGCTGGAGCCCAGGGGGTTCACCTCGGTGATGTTCAGGCGGTAGGAGCTCCAGAACTCTGATCCATGGACGGTGCAGGTGCCAGGGCGGGATGGATCCTGCAGGCATGGCCCCATATGCCCATTCTTGTTCCTACAGACAGGGAGGCAGGGTGGTGACATGTCCCCCGCACCCAACATGCATGTTTCCCTATGCTGCCATGGAGCTGGCATGTGGGAAGACCCCGATGACAAGAGCCTGTTGGAGGAGGCAGCCCCTGTTACATCTAGGCTGCCTTCAGCCCTCCAGAACCTTGCACATCCCTCTGAGCATGACCAAAAGGACTGTCACCCCAGCTCCACAGTCCCTCCTGGGAAGGTGTGTCCCTGGGGCAAGCCCTTCTCCAAGGCCCCCAGGCTCCCCCATGGGGACTCCTAGTCCTCACTCTGAGGACCCCACTGAGGACAGTGGCAGAGCCTTTGGGACAGGGCCCAGTCCTACGGGAGCGGGACTGGGGTGGGAGTCAGTCCTACCTCCGCTTCTCTTCACCCGTCAGTGATTTCTTCCTGCCATGGAAAGAGACAGAAAAGAAGATGATAAGGATGAGGGGACAGCATGAAGCCAGCCCCACTGTGACCCAGAGGAGGGGTAGGCTGCACTCAGAGCAGCACCCCACTCCCACACTGACACACACCAGCGACATGGCACTGGGGATGGGGCTCAAACTGTGCCTGGCCCTGCTGGCAGACCACGGGGGTCCCGGGGAAAGGAGACAGCCAAGAGCCCAGGAGGGTCTTCGCCAGAGGACCCTCATCCCCTGCCCAGGGTCTCATTGCACAGCAAAGGTACAGGGACACTGACAAAGGCAGCTCCCTGGCTTTATCATTCCCCTACAGCCCCGCAAGCCCCCTGCTTCCCACCACCCTCTCCCTGCTGAGCCCCTGATGCTCTGCACAGCTGCCCCCAACCCCCCAGCCTCTAGCTCCTGCAGCTTTCAGCAGGGCTGAGTTTTACGAGATCCGTCTGACTTCAAAGCAGCCCGCTAATTTGGCCTGCCGGGATAATTAGAAGCAGTGAAGCTGTCAGGCCTCCTTTCATCCCTAAGCATGCCGAAGCACTCAGCAGCTTGCAGATGACCTGTTTCTCTTTCATAGCCCCTCTGGTGCTGGCAGAGCTGTTGGCAGGGAGGGAGTCTGCTTGTGCCAGTCCTCCAATGCTGCTGGGGGACCCTCCTTGGAGCAAACAAGCGCTCGCTGCTCTCTCACACCAAAACATGACCGGGGTGCAGCACGGTCCTTGGGGCAGGAGGTGAACCCAGGGTGGGGGCTGGATGGCCAGTAGAATTTGGTGCCTATCCTCAGCTGGGACCCAGGCTCAACCTGTAAACCCCTCATCATGTGCCCTGCAGGGATGCATCACCTGTAGGTGGTGATGTATCGGGTGGGAAGGAAGGTCTCCACACTGGAGGTCCAGGAGCAGGAGAAATTCTCATAGTCGGATGCTCTGCAGGACACAAAGGGCACTCCCGGCAGGCCTGGGGTCCGAGGGGAAGCGA